TGTGAGTGTGTGTGTGTGTGTGTGTGTGTGTGTGTGTGTTAGGAGAACAACGGCTCTGAACATAATTTGAGCATTTCATTTAATAAAACATATAAATAAATTTAAAACATATGCATATATGTATATATAATATATATATATATATATATTATTATGATATGAGAACAATGATTCTGAATATCATTTGAGCATTTAATTTTATGAATACAAATAGAAATAAAGATATATTGAATTATATTGTTAAATTATATCTAATTCTATTTAGATATTTAATTATATATTTTGATTATAGTATGACATTTCAAACATTTTTCAAAAATATATAATAAATATATTTATTAAATCGTGTTATGAGAACAATAGTTCTGAACATTTGAAATAAATCAGTAAATAAATTAATTTCAAACATTTTGCAAATACATAAATATAAAGTATATTTAATTGTTATGAGAACAATTGTTCTGAGCATAATTTGAGCATTTTATTTTAATTAGATTATTAAATTTCGAACATAGCACATTAATAACAAATAAAAACATGTAAAATATATTTATATTTAATGAGATTCTCTCGTTACAGCCGTTCAAACATTTTACAAATAAGAAAATAAATATATTAATTTTTTAAAAAACACGTGTATTAATTACTTTTGAATCCACAGGGTAAAGCGGTTCATTAAAATTATGATTCATAAAAAAAATAATTATGATTTCTAAATCTATAGCGAAATAACCCGCCACATCTGTTTTGATTGGATGGGCGGAGTCAAGAATCCGCCCTGCTGTCTCTGATTGGCCCGATCGCGCACATGCACATGAGGGAGGCGTGTCTCTCGTATCTGTTGCCCCGCCCCGTCTCCTCCCGCAGGCTATGCTGAATAATACCGGAGCTCTGGGGTCTCCGACGCTCAGATTTGAGGAAAACACAGACAATATGGAATAAGATGCTCTTTGAAACAATACAGGTAAGTTTCCGCGTTGTTGTGCAAGTCTGCAGTGAATCTGTCGGATCTAGTAGTTTTAAACTGCTACTTAAATTGAACGTGAGCGTTGTTATTAATCGCGCCACAAGAGTTTTTAAATCTTTTTAAACCGCGTCCGTTAAACCGTCAGACGCACGAGCTCCTCCGTCAGCGCAGATAAAGACGAGCGCTTCACAGAAACGCGACTCGAGACGCTTCAGAGACGCTTCAGAGACGCTTCGGAGGCTGTCGGGGTTGTTTCGGGAGGAAAGGTGAAGATGCTGGAGAGTAAATGTGGTAATCCTGTGCTCTCTGAGGGGATTTGGGCTTTAAAGCTCATGTCTGACCATCTGCCCGTACGTATGTGCGGGGCGGAGCTATCATAATAGAGGCGAGACCCTTTTGGGGTAGAGGCGTGTTTGTTTTGGTGATTTCAAATATCAACATTGGCTACCAGAAATCCCTCACTCTGCCTTTAATATTATGAGTAAAGCTAAGTTTTGAACCACACATTTAATAGTTATTAGTATGAATGACAGAAAATGTACGTCTACATATTTAATGAAAACAGTAAATCTAAGTCTTGAGTCAGACATTTATTAGTTTTAGTGTAAATACACTCCAGATATTTTCACAGTGGGCTCATGGCAAGCATTGTATGATTATTAATAGTATTTTGTCTCTCTTCTTTTCTCCCTCATATGTTGGCCTTTCTCTCTGAAATATGCATCTTCTGCATATTTGCCTTGCTGTTTTCCTCCTGTTCATCGTACGTTCCTCTCTCTGTCTGTCTCTCTCTCTCTCTCTCTCTCTCTGTCTCTCGGCCCACTCTAGCATTCCTGGAACACTTGTAGAGTTTCTGTTGGGTCTCTGATCTCGGCACAGAGAGAGAGAGAGACTGAAACTCCCCCTGAATTCCACATCATGAATGTCATTTGGGAAATAAGCCGGGGTCCGAGTCATAGTTTATCCCTAACCCTCACCCTAACTAACCCTGACCATAACTAACCCAAACGCTGGGGTTAAAGGGAAAGTTTTCCCAGAAATGACAAATCTATTGTCATGTAATGTTTTAAACCTTTGTGACTTATTTTCTTCTGCTGAATACAAAAGATCCCTTAAGAAAAATAAGTTTATTCAAGTGTGCTATTAGTATACTTCTTTTAAACCAAAAATAGGAAAGTATACTTTCAGTTACCTTTTTATGTACTTCTCAGAAATATACTTAAAATCACATTTAAGTATACTTGACTTATACTTAGAAAAAGTCGAAATATATTTGAGCTATACTTGTTCTCAGAGAATCCGTGTTTTCATTGTTATACGTTAGAGGTTGCTATTACACATCTTCTATACAGAATTAAAATAAAAACACAAGTGAAGAAGAAACCGAAACAACAGATGCTTCCACATGTATTCTAACATGATCATCAGACATAAAACAGCATCAAAACTGTGTAACGTTATGGAATAAAATGTCGAGTAAACTTACGAGTATACTTGCAGTATAAAACTACTAAACTAGTAGTTTACTGAGGCTATACTTCAAAGTGTACTAAAATGCAAAAGTATTTAATTAGTAAACTATCAGTATACCTATAAGTTCACTTTTAGTATAGTTGCAGTACAAGCTAAAAACAGTTGTAAACTAGTTGTGTACTCAGTTTACTACTGTTATACTTAAAAGTATACTTTTATATACTAGAAAGTGGGCCAATTTAGTTCCAAGGAGTATTGAAATAATACACTTACACTATACTACTAATACACTGCTATTTGTATACTTACTACATAAAGTATACTTAAAAATATACTTGAATTTTACTTAAGTATACTTACTAAAATAAACTTGAAGTATACTACTTTTTGGTAAGGGATATTTTGAAGAATGTTGGTAACCAAAGAGTTTTGACTTCCATTTTCTATTGTATGAAAAAAACAATTATATATATATATCTAAGACATTTCTCAAAATATCTTCTGTTAAAGTGTATAGGGATCTGAGCTCAATAGCTCAATTCAAGTGTGTATCCTAAAATGCTTCATTATATGAAAAGGGTGGTCAAACGGGTTTGAAATATTGTGAGGGTGTGTAATTCATAGTATTTATTTATTTATTGAATTTTCTAGTATTAACTCTTCATTTAGACAATGCACTTCATATACCAAACATGTTTAAAAACACGAGATGTGGGCAGTGAATGAAAAAACACGATCTAGAGATGCGTTTTTAAAAGTTGAACTACATTTAACTCAAGCGTTGCATTTTTGTCATGCGTGAGAAGCTGCAAAAGATGCGAGATGTGAGCACCAAACATGCAGTGCATATTTACGTTAAAAAAGCAGCAAAGTGGAATGCAAAAGCACGTTCTGTAAAAAAAAGATGTTTTTGCATTCAAAAACACAAGATGCAGGGCAATGGAATGGAATGGACTTCTTAATGCACTGCTTGAGTTATTTTATCGTGCACAAGACTTTGCAACAGTTGCGTGACCCGAGCTCAGCAGTCAAAAACATCAATCTAGTGCATGTTTACATAGAAAACACAATGAGAAAGCTGCGCAGTGGAATGCAAAAACACATTCTGTGTGAACGGCCGCTTATTCACAGACCAACAGTTAAAAGATAGCGCTGAACGACAGCAAGAGCATGTCTGGTGTGAGTGGCCTGAAGACTGTGTTTATAGTGTAGAGTAACTACCACTGGACGCTCGCTGGATATCTTTGGGTCCAAGAGTGCCAGTGCAAGTTAAAAGAGAAGGAAACGGCAGAGACGCTTCTGGGCTCTGGACAGGAAGCAAGCGGCTGCTTTATGTCAAAGGTGCCGAGTATTTTTACTGAGAGTGTGAGAACCGTTACAGATACAACTTGAAGTATACTACTTTTTGGTAAGGGATATTTTGAAGAATGTTGGTAACCAAAGAGTTTTGACTTCCATTTTCTATTGTATGAAAAAAACAATTATATATATATATCTAAGACATTTCTCAAAATATCTTCTGTTAAAGTGTATAGGGATCTGAGCTCAATAGCTCAATTCAAGTGTGTATCCTAAAATGCTTCATTATATGAAAAGGGTGGTCAAACGGGTTTGAAATATTGTGAGGGTGTGTAATTCATAGTATTTATTTATTTATTGAATTTTCTAGTATTAACTCTTCATTTAGACAATGCACTTCATATACCAAACATGTTTAAAAACACGAGATGTGGGCAGTGAATGAAAAAACACGATCTAGAGATGCGTTTTTAAAAGTTGAACTACATTTAACTCAAGCGTTGCATTTTTGTCATGCGTGAGAAGCTGCAAAAGATGCGAGATGTGAGCACCAAACATGCAGTGCATATTTACGTTAAAAAAGCAGCAAAGTGGAATGCAAAAGCACGTTCTGTAAAAAAAAGATGTTTTTGCATTCAAAAACACAAGATGCAGGGCAATGGAATGGAATGGACTTCTTAATGCACTGCTTGAGTTATTTTATCGTGCACAAGACTTTGCAACAGTTGCGTGACCCGAGCTCAGCAGTCAAAAACATCAATCTAGTGCATGTTTACATAGAAAACACAATGAGAAAGCTGCGCAGTGGAATGCAAAAACACATTCTGTGTGAACGGCCGCTTATTCACAGACCAACAGTTAAAAGATAGCGCTGAACGACAGCAAGAGCATGTCTGGTGTGAGTGGCCTGAAGACTGTGTTTATAGTGTAGAGTAACTACCACTGGACGCTCGCTGGATATCTTTGGGTCCAAGAGTGCCAGTGCAAGTTAAAAGAGAAGGAAACGGCAGAGACGCTTCTGGGCTCTGGACAGGAAGCAAGCGGCTGCTTTATGTCAAAGGTGCCGAGTATTTTTACTGAGAGTGTGAGAACCGTTACAGATACATTTTTTTTTAACTTCTTAAAGGAATATTCCACCCAAAATTGAAATGTGCTGGAAGTGTACAACAAGCTGTAGATAGGTTTGTTTCTTCATCAGATTTGGAGAAACGTAGCATTCAATCACATGAAACCACCTCAAGTCTGCTCTGTTCAGTAATCGGCTGACTAGGCAGTTGTCTTGTGTTTTGAGGTGCAGGAAACTAGGGATGTAACGATTCACTCAACTCACGATTCGATTCACCTGGAAGTGTACAACAAGCTGTAGATAGGTTTGTTTCTTCATCAGATTTGGAGAAACGTAGCATTCAATCACATGAAACCACCTCAAGTCTGCTCTGTTCAGTAATCGGCTGACTAGGCAGTTGTCTTGTGTTTTGAGGTGCAGGAAACTAGGGATGTAACGATTCACTCAACTCACGATTCGATTCACGATTTTCTTTTTTAACAAAATGAGATTTAAGACGAATTATAAATTAAATGTGTCCTTTTATTATTGCTTGGACAAACTACTGTACGTTTCTTTGTGAAATTGAAATATAACACTATAATAATATACTAATATAGCACTTGTAAATTATTGCTCTTCTGTTGGTTTTGATTGCTTCTATTGTCCTCATTTGTTAGTCGCCTTGGATAAAAGTGTCTGCTAAATGACTAAATTTAAATATAAAGTAGATGTAAATAACATAACTAAATTGAAAGTTTAAAACAAGCCCCAAATCAAATAAATAAGTAACACAAATAAAATAAATCTCTTCATATGATCAAACTTTAAGGCTTTGTCTGTGCTCTTTCCTTTTAAAATTTAGAGGCAACCACTGCATTTTAATCTTGATCCAAACAAAGATGCTGCATACATGCAACACGAGCAG